TTCCATCCTTTGAATATTCTTGTGCTTGTTAATCCTACCTCTAATGACCTTATAATTAATAGTGCATGAAGATGTGTAGTGTTCTCCGTCCCCATTCATTTCACCGAACGCCTATCAACTCGTAATCATTTCTCTTCTTGTGCTCTCTGGTCCTAGTCTGAGTTGGATTCATACCACTCATTCGTTTGGTTAGTATCTTATCCATTACAGTTTGTGGTTTTTTATGAAAGTCCTCTTTCGTTCTCCTGGTTTGCGTTATTTGTAGGAGCCTTGGATTTCATAATTGTAACTTTCCTTCATTTTTGCTGTCATCATCCTGCAGAGGGAGATTAGTTCTCAGTGCATTATTTATGCTAATGAAAGGCTGATATCGGTTAGAGAAACAAAGAAGATCAGAGAGGTAATATTTTCGCCCTCGTTTAGAACTCTTCATCAGGACGCACCCGCAATGCAACCAGGGATCGGGCCCAGGACGTTGAGGCTGCGATGCCGAACTCGTTGACAACTCAGACACTTTGGCAGGAGTCTAATGACCCATGAATTCTAAATTCTGTCATTTCGAAACTTTTAATGTAATGTTCACTAGTGACTGATTAAAGGACATAGTTGCCTGGAGTCCAAATGAGACATAGTGACTAGTAGCGTCCACCAGGGCGGGTGTGAGGACACACTGTTGCAGGTGATATTGGCTAGCGTTTACACTGGAACTGCGAATTTACAGAAGTTTTAATTCGTGTGTCATTGAATTTCGTTCCAGTGGCTAAGTGGCTAATTAGGTCGCCTTGTAAGTCAAAGGTCCTGGGTTCGATCCCTAGTGGGGTTATCGGTGCGTACTGTGAAGAGTTTCACATTAGGACGAAACAGCTGTTGAGTACTCGGTTGTTTCAGTAGTTCTCTAACTGCTATCATTCAGTCACCAAACGTGAAACAAGTTAAATCCTGACTAATTAACTCTTATTGCTGAAACTCTGATAAATCAAAAAGAACAGTGTTTATATTACGTGAGATGGTCTTCCTAAGAGAGTTATTCACTGATAAACACTATGCACAACTAACTAGATGTGCAAGTTTATTCATAAACTCTAGTTAGAGAGGAGAACTACAGGTTGTCGGGTAAACTAATTCAGAACTTTTTTGTCTTTAATTGTTTTGCTCTAAATCTTAAAATGTGTTTTGAATGTCTACAGCTAGAACGACAATATATATATATATATATATATATATATATATATATATATATATATATATAAATAAATAATATATATATATATATATATATATATCGCGTTCATTCTATGTTCGGAAAACAACAAAAAATACTTTTGTACAGATTGAAATCTTCGTTTGTCATCAGAAACTAAATAGCTTGAAATTAATGGGTTCAACATAAACTAATAAACTGTAATCAGGGCAGACTGAGAAAACTTAGTAAATAATACTATTTGACTGGATGATATTTATCCGAGAAACTAATTGACATAGACTTTATTCTGGCATTTAATTGGTGGATGGTGACTAGCGGTGGAATCCAGGATGCGCATTTCATCCTAGATGTACCTGTATTCCGCAGTGAGTGATGGTGTTCCCACCGAGGCTCGAATGCACCACCCACAGTTTCAAACGCCAAATCGTTATCCATTAGAGCACTTGGGCCACGAGAGCCACCTGTTGTGCAACGGGTCATGTTAATTTAATTTTAGATTTTCCCATCGATGAATTGGACCAAAATGCTCGGTCTCAGGTTGACACGTTGGCTTCTTGTGCAGATGCTTCGATCCACCAGTTAACTTCTAAATACATGCCCAGATATCGTCGAAGCATCTGCACAAGAAGCCGACATGTCAACCTGAGAGTGAGCACTTCGGGGTCCAATCAGTTGACGGGAAAATCTAAAAAGTGAATTCAATAATTTATTCTGGTATGTTGGAATAGCTGAGTAACATGCCATATACCATTCTCTGTGAAACACTTTGCAGGATAATTTACCAATTTCAGGCTTCATTCATAAGCATTAGGTATCATATGGAAGATACTGAGTTTAGTGTTTGACGCATTCATAGATTAAGACAAGAAACGAATGCCCTCAGGTATTTTTCCATTCCTGCTTATTTTTGTTCATATCATTATTTGAAATAGTTGATCACATGTGACATAATATGAAATTGTTTGTTTTATAGTTATACACAAACATTATTTTGTTCTTAAAAGTGTACTTTATTCTCAGATTAGATAAAATGCTTTCTTTGCCAAGTCTGACCACGGACTGATATTAACTAGAGAACCATTGAAAACCACGGAGTACTGGACAGCTGTTTCGTCTCATTAAGAAAACACATCCCTCGGGTTTTTAAGTCCAAGACTTTTCAGTCAGAAGACAGCCTCGTAAACAATTCAGCCACTGGGATCCGACTCAATAGTTAACCGATGAATTCTAACTTTTGCCAATTCGTGATTTTAATGAGGCCACTAGCCAGCCGTCACACTTGAAAAGCAAATCAAATCCCTACAAACCAAATCTTGAAAATACTTTGCGCGGAATTTTCTAAAAAAGTTTATTGTTAAAAGGAGGTAAACTGGAATTAGTAATTCAATGTAAATTGTATTCCACATTTTATTTTTATTGCCAACTTCCCAATTTAATTTCCCTGAGATGATGCTAAGATTGTTTCTTGGACTCCAGCAAAACTCCCTTTAATACTCTTGGTCTGCTGGTGATTAATGCATCCTTTTAATATCCACACGACTGTTTACATTATTGGAGAAAACAAGTTTCAGTGTGGCTTAAAAAGAATCTTTTTATTTCGCGAATATTTCTATAAATCTGCTTTATGGAAGTCAAGAGACTATCTAACCTGGTGCCTCCAGGTTACAAAGCCAGCTTACATACAACTGAGGCACTGGGACGGAATTCGTTGGCCAACCGGTTCTAACTTCTGCCAATTTGTGGTATATAGTTTGACAGTCAGCCAACCTTATCAACGAGTATTTGTCCTCAAACTCAATCTAGCTAACTAGGATTTCCCACTAGGACTTCAGACAACTTCTTCTTGTAGTCAGTCACTAGTGAGCATTAGATTAATCTTCAGCCGTTCACCAACCGAAGTCAGTTCGTGATCAATCTAATCTCTAAAGATCAAGACTTGGGATGGTGACGGGCATTCGACATTTGTTGGATATAACAGCCAATTTAACTTATAAATGTCCATACTATTGTGCTATTTGACAGCGGATGTGTGTTTACAGTGGGTCAGCAGGTCATTAAAAAGCCTAATACTGTGCTAAAAATTTAAAAAAGTTTAAGTAATTGAGCGGTGACCTTAAAATTAATCACAAAATAAACATTTTCGATGATGAAATTAACTTTTTTCTTTTCAGGACTTCTTGTTAGAGCCACACAGTGTTATTAAGAGAACTATTTTACGTAAGGAACTGCATTTTTATCCTGGTTACAATTTTACTTAACGAGCGCATTATGGATAAGATTTTATTTTGATAAATCACACAGCGTTATATAGTAATATTAACTAATGACGTTTCGAGCACAAACTATTGCTCATAAGCATATCAAGGCACCTACTCACACATTTTTCCCTTCATATATATACATGTGTGGAATCGATTACATATTGCAGTAAAAATCAGTATAGGATAATGTATATTCAGAATTATTAGCATGAGTTTTAATGATCAATTGCAATCAGATGGGAAATAAGACGAGTGTTTTTATAGTCATAATAAGTTACTTGATAGAGTGTTGTGATGTGCTTGAATTGAAGTAGAATTTTGAGATTATTTATTATTCTCTTCTGATTTGATTGGCGGTAATAATATCTTCCATATCTCTGGTATTTGCATTGAGTCATTCCTACTGCATGTGTTGGGTGTAGACTCGATGAACCGAGATTCAGTAATCAACCTCTCTCTCCACCTACCTAGATTACTTCTCAGAATGTTAAACCTCTCTCCCCTCTTGTTTGGTTGTGTGTTAGTGCACGTAGATCAATTGCTGAGCTTTTCTCTAAATTACTTATCTTCTCGGGGTAAACCATTCTTACCTTAGCTAAATTCTTATGTTCCGACAGTCTGACTACCCCTGACCTACTAGTTGTTCGGCCTATGTAGTTGACCTCACAGACATTGCAGGATATTTTGTAAACTATATTATTTTGTCTAATTGGGTCAACTGGGTCCTTTAGCTTACAGAGCTTGTCACTGAGTGAGTTTGTAGGTTTGAATGCCACCCTAATTCCTGCTTTATTAAGAATCCTACGTAGGGTCTCATATGTCCCTTCCTTATATGGTATAACAGTAGATGCCTTATATTCTGTCTCATTTATGTATCATTATTAGTTTGACCATTGTTTTTATTATTTTACTTTCAGCCTTTTCTGATCTCCCCAATGTTTTTTATAGGATAATTAATTGATATCAACGCTTTTTCTATCTTATTGAATTGAATTTTTCTATGTTTTATTTCAGCATTTAGGTATTTTCTTGTGCTGCTTAGTGCTACTGCTTGATTTGTTAAACACTTAACTAAGCTTGCTTTGACAGTTAACGGATGAGACGAATTAAAGTCTAAATATCTATTAGCAGAATGCGTTGGTTTTTGTATAAACACTAGTGTGTAGTTCACCTTCTCCTATTCCTTTTATTTTACAATGTAACATAGTCAATTCTCCGTGTTCATTTTCCGATTCAAATGTGAATTTTATTCCCTCTACTAGTGAGTTTATATGTGTCAAGAGGCTAGAGATATGTTCTGTTTTTAACATTGTGAAGGTGTCATCCACATATCTCCACCATACTTAACGAGGATATTTTATCTGTTGTGAAATCAAGAGAAGCATCTGCATTCTTGTAAGAAAGTGAAGTTGAAATTATTTGAATCTGGTTATAACTTAAGTTTATCATAAGACTTCATTTATCATTCTGTTATTTAGAGAAATAATAAACTAATATTTGCCTAAATATATCACCATAAATCCTTCTCATCTTAAATGAAATTAAAGGTAAGCAGCAAAATTGCAAACGTTTTAAAACAACGTGGTAGATCATCCTCTTATTTTGCCAATAATGTCCTAAATTTGACGTTTACAATTATTTCCGAAGCTCTGAGAACAACTGTACTATCAGAGTATTTACAATCTAATCCTAGATTTCTGTTTATAAGTCGATGTCCAAAAAAACTTCATTCACAACTTTTGTCACCTGATTCCTCTTACCATCTAATGACGACATATGATAACCATAGTGTGAAAAAAATCATGTTAACTCTGAATTCTGTGAATAATTTCAAAGCATATACAAATATTTATACACTGACAGGTCAATGAGGCGTAAATTTTAATACTTTAACCACACCAGTGCCTGAAATCTGACAGATAGTCAATACCTCTCTTGATTAATAATTCACCATATTGTTGAGTGTCTAGAAATTAGAAACTCAATTTTAGTATATGATTTTATCCAAGCTTTGCTTATTTGATTGTTTATTCATTTGAGGTTAAATGAATTTCATTTAAAATGTGTATTACAATTTTTCCTCATATTAAATCTATCCATCACTTATAAGTTGTCTTAAAAAATTCCACTCGAACCATTTACTAATATACAGCACTCATAATTATATATGCATGCTTGTTTCAGTTTGTATTTGCGTGCATACTTTAATACAGATATACTCTTATTCGTGTGCGTGTGTGTTTGTGTTCTCTGAGCTAGATAGTCTAGTTGAGACTGCAACTGACGATAGATGGTGGGATTTGGTGATAGAAGCTCTCATGTAGAAAGAATAATTGTTCTCTGGTGGATATTTGCCATCTGGCGAAATCCTCCTATTTTCTAAGAGAAAGAAACATATATACCCCTCGTGAGATTTAGTTGTAATGGGGATTTGTAGCTCAGGTTGACGATATTTGGGTGGTTGTTTTCTCTCAGCTGAAAGTTTTAGTTTACTCCCAAAATTTATGTGAACGAAATTCGGCTGATTAGCTGTTTGGAGTCACTTATTGTTGTAACAATCATTCAATATTTAGATAACATTTATTTCTGTGACTAAGTAAAGTAAAAAGGTAAATTTAGGATTCGAAAGTGTCTGAAAGAATATTTCACCTTTTTTAAAACAGTAGTTGAAGATATTCACCTGTTTGTAAATTCTAGATGGTTTCACACAGTGTTGAAGTATTCGAAACTGAAATGATGACTAGTAGAAATATGAGAGTTATTTACTAAGCGACTAGTTTTCCTCTTATTTTGAAATCAACTCTTCACTGATGAACGGTACTTCATTTTTCTTTTGAAGCAGTTAATTTGTTTATAGATTACTAAACCTATCACGAATGATACTTCTGATTGTCTTGGACTGGATTATGCACCAGACTGTGATGAGCGAGAAGACAGAAATACGTTGAACCGATAAGGGGACTCTAGAAGATCTGGACATTGTAGATGATTTATTTCTAATGTTACATAAACTCAAAGACTTGCAGGCGAAAATCAACAGGCTGACAGAAGAGGTTAGAAGCAAAGACATGACTTCAAGTGAACATAGAGAAGACATGGGTGAAAAGACAGCCAACCAATAACAAAAAGCACCAATCACTGCAAATGAAATAAATCTGAAAGAGGTGAATTCCTTCACTTACCTAGGAAGCATCGTTTCAACTAAACGTGGGACGAAAGGGTGTGTCCAAAGCTTCTTCTGCACCCAGCATAAAGATCGAAATTGGGATTTTCAGTACCAATGCTAGGTCAGTTCTTCTATGTATTTCAGAAAGTTGGCGGGGCACACAAAGCATTTCCCTCAAGTTGGTGACTTTTATCAACAGGTGTCACCTTCGCTGTCTCCATACCGAAGATCATATGGCCAGCGAGAAAGAATTAGCAGCAAGAAACTCTGGTTGGGAACAAACCAACCAATAGCCGATTACTCAACAAATATATAGGAGAAAATAGAGGTGGATCGGGCATACGCTGAGGAGACCGTCAAATAACATCGCTTCAGATCCTGTAGTGGAACCGGAATGGGGAACGATGAGCTGGGCTAGGATCTGAGGGTGACATGGAGGGGATCATGTGGGGAGGAGATTTGATTTTGGGGACAATTATGAAATGAGCTAAAGTGGACTGCAGAGAATAGGACAAAAAGGGAGATGTGGCATTATAGCTGTGTGTTTCACTCGGAACCCAAGCGAATGGCAATAGTAATAATAGGTGCTAAGCGACGCAAAGGACAAAATTTAGATTCTTCTATGCTGCAGAAACATTTTGCAGAAAATTAATGAAATTGTCGGGATGTCACTGAACAAAACCTTACATGAATGTGCAGATTTACTTGCATTATGATTTTTTACTCCTGAATACACTGCACCACGAATTCCAGCTTGGATAACCATCTAATGTTGCATATCACTAGAAAGTAAAATAAAGATGTAGCTCAGAATCCAATATTATTATCACCAGCTGCAGTTATTTCGGATAGATTATGAAACTTTCTTACCTGTGCTATGCAATGCATGCAGTGTTTAATTTTGTATTTATAACAGGTTGGTCAGTTAGGGAATGACTGTTGTGTATCATGAGATAGACACTGCATTTTGCGTTTTTATAAATCAACAGTTTCTTTATTTATGTAAGAATAGAACATGTAATTCCGTAAATAAACAATCTTGTTTAGCATAGCATACAATGATTCGGTTTTATTCATATACTAATGAAGTTTCTAGCCAAGTTTTGTGTTTAAGTGAATTCCAGATTTTGTTTATATAGTCGCGGTACTTTTAATATTTTGGTTTTATTAGTGTTAATATTTTTCGACTACTGCGTTACATTTTGCTTATTAATAAAAACTCTCGTTTCTGTAAACTTTTATGCCAAGAGTTTGTGGAAACTATCACAATTATTAACTTTTCGAACACTGAATCCAAGAATACAATCTTATTGACAGATAATACATATAACTAACTATTTGGATTTGTGGAATTTTTAAACATAAACACATCTATAATTGTATATATTGTTGGGTTTACATTTTCAAGTTGCTCCAAGTCAGTGAGTTTATGGTTGAGATATCATTTTAGTTAACTGTGCTTTTTGCCCTTTTTTTCTGTGAACTGTTTCCTTTGTTGATGTTGTTCTCATTGTTTGTCCGTTATTTTCTGATTTTGAGGGGAGCAACCCAAAAAGTTGCTTCTCTCTAAACTTTTACTTAATGTAATCATTCTTTTCTCAGGCGTGAGGCTAGCAACCCCACCCTGTAAACAAAATTGCTAAAGAAACTTCAGTATGTGAACCTCTTTGCACCAAAAGAAAAAGTCTGTGTAGGAACATGGAACGTCCGAACTATGTACGAGACTGGGAAAGCTGCCCAGATCGCCAACGAGATGAAAAGATACGGAATACAAGTGCTGGGAATATGTGAGAGCAGATGGAATGGGAGTGGACTCACCAAATTGTCAACAGGTGAGTCAGTGATCTACTCCGGTCACCCAGAAGATAACCACACGCACACCGAGGGCGTGGCTATCATGATGTCACCAACGGCAACGAAAGCCCTGATACAATGGGAGGCGATTTCGTCCAGGATAATGACCGCCAGGTTCAACTCCAAAGGAAGGAAAGTGTCAATCATACAATGTTATGCACCCACAAACAACGCAGACCTCGAGAAGAAAGAAGAATTCTACAGGCAACTACAGGCAACAATGGACAATACTCCAGCTGGCGACATGAAAATACTAATGGGAGACATGAACGCCAAACTGGGACCAGACAATACGGGAAGGGAACTCATCATGGGTAGAGAAGCTCTAGGAGAAATGAATGAAAACGGAGAACTCTTCGCCGACTTCTGCGCCTTCAACGAACTGGTGATTGGTGGCAGTGTATACAAGCACAAAGATATCCACAAGGCTACATGGGTGTCACCAGACGGGCAAACCAAAAACCAAATCGACTTCATCTCAATCTCAAGGAAGTGGAGGCGCAGCCTACTGGACACAAAAGCAAGAAGAGGAGCAGACGTTGGCTCAGACCACTATCTCGTACAAGGGACAATCCAAATCAAATTAAAAGCTTTCAGGGAATCAGGAGCTGCAGATAGACCACAAGCCAAGTTCAACACTCAAAAGCTGAAGGACCAGGCTACAAAGGACATCTTCATTGCAAGCATAAAGGACAAAGCCGAGACACAAATCAACACCAGCGAAAAGGTCGGCGTCGAAAAGCACTGGAACAACTTGAAAACGGTGTGGAGCCAAACCTGCATAGAAATTCTAGGCAGAAAAAAGAGACAGGACAAACAGTGGCTCACTACGGACACTTGGAAACTAATAGAAGAGAGAAGGACAGTGAAGCAAAAGATTATCCAGTGCACTGACGAGCAACAAAAACAGGAGCTGAATGCAAGCTACAATACACTGAACAAAAGAGTGAAGAAGAGTGCCAGGGAAGACAAAAGAAAATATTATGAAACCATGGCAAACGAAGCAGAACAAGCTGCAGGCAAAGGAGACCTCGCCACACTCTACCAAACAACTAGGAACCTTTCGGGCAAACGTTCGACACAGATTAAGCCAATAAAGGACGACAATGGAAAGTCAATCACCAAAGAGGTGGAACAGAGAAAGCACTGGGTTGAACACTTCAAAAGACTTCTAAATCGTCCGCCACCTACAACACGCCCAGCAATACCAACAACGGAAGCAGAACTACCAGTGAACACTGACCCCCCGACGAAATCAGAAGTCCTGAATGCAATCAAGATGCTAAAAGCTGGGAAAACACCGGGACCAGATGGAATCCCAGCAGAGGCTTTGAAAATAGACCCAGAGACAACAGCGGACTTGATGACACCACTGCTGGAGAAGGTGTGGAAAGAGGGCAAAGTACCCGAGGATTGGAAGAAAGGATACTTATTCAAACTTCCAAAGAAAGGAGACTTAAGTCAATGTAAAAACTGGCGTGGAATTATGCTTCTGTCCATTCCAAGCAAGATACTAAGTCGCATCATCCTGGAGAGAATCAAACAAGCCCTAGATGAAAAACTTCGTCCGGAACAGGCTGGATTCAGGAGAAACAAATCATGTATTGATCAAATCGCCACTCTACGGATCATCATTGAACAAAGCTTGGAATGGCAGTCACCTCTCTATCTCAACTTCATCGACTTTGAAAAGGCCTTCGACAGCGTCGATCGAGAGGTCATTTGGAAACTACTTCGCTACTACGGGGTCCCATCGACAATTATACACCTCATCCAACAGTTATACGACAATGCTGCATGCCAAGTAATCCACAACGGGAAACTTACGGAAGCCTTCGAAGTGAGGACGGG